TATATATATATATATACACATATATATATATATATATGTGTATATATATGTGTATATACATATATATGTGTATATACATATATATGTATATATACATATGTATACATATATATGTATATTTACATATATATACATATACACAAATAGATATCAAAGTACAAACGTCCATCCTAACTGCACGACGTGTGCTTGATGGTGAGTATTAGGAAGTTAGTTGTGACCCGGAGAAGCGGGAGCATCCACCGCCACGGCAGCGCACGTCACGTGACCACCTTGTCTGCTGCTGGCTGAGTGAAGCGTGTTAGCAGGTAATAAAAACACTATTTTTCTTATGATTTTCCAAGTTCATTGTCTGCATTTCAACGCTTATACGCCGTGTACTTAAGCGCGCTTTCGCTGAGGTAGTTGCTGGCTGGCTTCGTTGCGTTGCTTACACGGGCTTGTGAGGGATGTCTTTCGCAATTTTTCTGTTGTCTTGTTTCCCGGCGAGCAATGTCGGGATGGGATTGGGCTCCGCTAAAGAGGCCCCCTTTTTCTTTAGATTTAACACAGCTATGTTGTTAGCTCACTAGCCCGGTGTTTACATGTCGAGGACACGCTTGACGAAACTGCCAGTAATCGTTAGATAACTGAGCGGAACTATAAATACGTGTAAGACACGATGAAGCCAGTTACACGGTCGCTGGTTATCCACTTGGACCAAATTTAGACCGCTAGCACCGTTAGCTAGCTTCATCCCCGCTATCGACGGTCTGGTGTCAGCATTAGCATGCTAGGAGCTAACATGAGTCTATGCTAGCGAGGACAAAGGGACCCCCAGCATCAACACCACTAAGTTGCTCAGTGTTAAGTCGAGAACGACACTACAATAATCTGATTTATTTTGTTTCAAGATTGACATGCAACGTCAACCGAATCGTCCCATATGTAGTCTCAGGAAATAAGTAGCTAACCTAACAGCAGCGAGCTAACGTTAGCATGGCTTCAAAACAACGCTCCGCTCGCTTTATTATTATTAAAATAAGCTGCAGCTAATTCTTAGTTGGCTGTAACCAGGTAAAAGTAAATGTACGTAAACATATACGAGTAAGTTAACTGGTGACGTTATTTTATTTCATGTCATGTCAGTAAAGTCATGTCCAAATACATGTGATGAACGTTTGAGATGTGCGGAGTTAACGTTACTGAAAGGCTGTTTTGTTATTGTTTATCTCTTAACACCGTCCACACTCGTACGTTAAACGATATGTTGATATTTGAAAACATCCACTAGATAGTGCAGCAGCTGCTGCTGTATGTTTCTCACTTATAAAAAGAGAATCTTGATTTTTCACTGAAATTAAATTTAAAGCCAGTTTGTGCTTTTTTTGCGTTTAGCTTTGTTCAGACCAGCAGCCAATGGCAGCAGTGCATCGGCCGTCGTCACTCAGGCACTGTAAACTGGGTTGCTATTGTTCTCTGACATAAAACAAATGGGTCACTGGGGACGTATGTTATGTTATTATCCTAACAATGGACACCATAGTCGAAGCTTGAAACACAAATTGCACTACAGGGTGTTTTTTTTTACTACAAGGTATTGAGCAGTCACCTTTTGTATAAAGCCCCCTCTGTGTGTGTATGTGTGTGTGTGTGTGTGTGTGTGTGTGTCTCTATGGTTGTGAGAAGTGTTTAATATTTGCCACTAAAACATATTAATGCAGGTTATGTGGTATCTACCCAATTTGTAGCAACTTGTATGGGACCAAGTTGTCATACACGGAGAATAATTCAGCATTTTACTGCAGTAGTTTAGTTTATAGTGTGTGTGTGTGTGTGTGTGTGTGTGTGTGTGTGTACTATCTAGCTTATAGAGGGGACGTGGAGTCAAGGTGTGTGGTGCTCACACGCTGAGGTCTTTGCTGTTTGTAAGAGGACACTGGGTCGCTCTCCCTCCTTGGCCTAGATTTCCAGCAAAGCTGTTGTGTCACCAGGCCAACTGTGTGTCTTAGGCTTCATAAGGCCAGTATTTGCGCAATAAGACTTTAGCTACGCTCACAACACATATTTCTGGTATTAAACAATTCTTTCCTTTATGTGCTCACATGAGGCAAAGTATTGAGGTTCTGCTGTAACAACATCGTTAATTAACTGACATAATCTGTGGGTTTAAGAACTATTAGTTGATTTTGCTCATCCTTCCATGTTGCTTGTTTCCTTTTGCAGATTTTTCTATTTTGTACATACAGAGTTTTGTATATACTGTATATGATGAGCTCGCTGGGCGGCGACAAGGCCCGGGGCCCTCGGGAAAAAGCGCTGCCTGCTGCCACTCAAGCGTCACAACCACAGAAACAGATACAGGTGAGCCACCGCAACTGCACGAACATGAAGAAACTCAATCAAAGCAGAGCACACGCTACGTTGAGACAAAACACCGGTGTGCAAGCAGACTGTCTATGCCAACAAAACCTTAGTGCACACATGAGGCAAGGAGACCTCCGTGGCCAATATTAACAAGGATTTTATTTGTTGTTACATCCACAATAGTGCATTAGATACAACTTAGTGACAATAGGAGGTACTTGCTTTGTATCCATATAGTTACATGAATACGTCTCTGATCATTATCTTTGTAAGTGTCATAGGTTTTTCTTGTTTTTGCTCCTGTTAATCAAAAATTTCCCCCATTGTTCTCCATGACGCAGGCTACTGCCGAGCAGATCCGGCTCGCCCAGGTGATCTATGACAAGAATGATGCTGACTTTGAGGACAAAGTTAACCAGGTCAGGCGCGCGTTTACTAGTCAGTGCAACCTGTTGATCTTCCATGACTCCAGTACTCTATGGGGACAAATGAAAAATATTTGATGCCATGAGTGACGCCTTGTCTTGCTGTGATGTGTACTTCTATGTGGTGAAAAAACAGTGTATTTTGTCATTGGTACACCCTTGTTGACTGCTAGACAATTCTAATATCACATGTGTGTGTGTGTTTGTGTGTGTGTGTGTGTGCTGCTGCTCTTCAGCTGATGGAAGTGACTGGGAAGAACCAGGACGAGTGCATGGTAGCACTCCACGACTGCAACGAGGATGTTAGCAGAGCCATCAACTTTCTCCTAGAGAGCACCTCGGACATGGTAAACGACATCACGTCTCATTTAATCTCATCTTAAACTCCCCTTAGTGGCCTGCTGTTATTTTCAACTATATGGCTTTGCAATATCAGATATTGTGAATATATTTTTTATGCTGGAAGGCAGAATGTGCAGCAGCTCTGGATGATAACTGTTTTTAACAAAATGTGTTATTACCATTTTAATTACTCATTTTATGGGTAAAAACAGCAGCATGAACTGTGAGAATAAGTTGGAAAAGTCTTTCATGCTCTAAATTTCACATTGTACTCGTGTTACCACAAATAGAATATAGCTTTTTTGATATGTCACTGTATGACGTGGCATTAATAACCGTAACAATGGCTCAATACAATTTCTGTCAGCTGGTTTCATGCTCACTGCCGCAGCTTAAGCCTCGTGCTACAAGACTTTGGTTGCTGTGCTGCTCACAATACAATTTATGTTTTCTGTCAGACTGTTGTTGTGTTTACTTGAGAGTGCACAAACTACACACCAGATCTCAGACCAGGGCCCTGTTCTTTGTATGTGGAGGATAGTGATATGGCATGAGTAAAATTCATCTGGAGGTGTTGTCAGAGCAACAAGTACTTCAGCCCAAACTTGCAAAAAGCGCAGGCTTATTAAAATGTACCTGGATCATAACCAAGACTTCTAGTAGCTTTGCTTCACAAAGGCATGCATTGTAAAATGCAAGTCATTGCGCAACCTGTTAAGACAGCTGCATTGATTTAAAATACAATCGTATCTGTTCTGTCAGAAGAGAGATGAGTGATAAAACGCAGCCGAAACACATTCTGCAGGTCCATGTTCAACACAATGACAAAAGTAAAAATGATAGAAAGATATTTTATATATTAGTTAAGTCACAAAACAAAGCATTCTGGCACCTCACTACTACATTTCAAGTTATGTAACGTGTTGAGAAGATTAACACATGTTGTGAAAAACACTATGTTGCTCTGTGTAGGCTGGTGAAAACACACCATAGCCCACAATCCCCCCCCCCCCTGCTGCTCAGAGATGAAGGTCAAACTGGCTGCCAAATGTCTGGCAAACACTTAAGTGTTGTTCTGCCCGTGTGTTGCCCAAGTGAGTGTCGCAACATTTCTGAAGAATGCCAGCTGGCACAGATGGTGAGGAGAGGCTGTAGGGCAGGGCGGCCAGTAAGACAGGTACCTGGTTCTTTTGGTGTCCTGGAAATCCAAAAATAGCAAATAGCCGGTTTCCTCCTTTTTATGTGGAAGTCTCCGCTGTTATTGTAAACACTGCAACCCTCTGACTACACCTGCTTCTACTGTACTCATCAAGATCTTAACTGTCATAAACAAAAGGAAAGGTTGCAGTGTGTTAGCTATAAGAGGAGGTGTAGCCCAAGAAAAGAGTGGCCTATTACCTAATTAACACACTCATTTTACTGACTGTATGGTTTTATTAATCATTATGTTGTTTAGTATTGAAACTCTACCAATTACATGTCCTCACCTGATATTTGTTTTTCTTACGTAACACAGCCTAGCGCACACTTCAGTAAACACGTTGGTCTTTTCTGTAACTGTTTCCAGAACAGTTTTTCTCGTGTCCTGTAGTGTCTCTTTATCCTCTTGATGAACAAAACGCACTCGAAACTGTGTTTTGAAATGCGATGTTCAACCAGCCACTTGTCTAGTTACTTTGACCGGCTGCAACTGTGAAATGGAGGCAGAGATTTATTTATTTTAGTTTTTAAAAAAAAAACTGCTGACTTCCGCTCACTGAAGCATGTTATCAATGTTGTCCTTGTTTTACTTCTGGCTATAGCTTCCTTATAAGGAACATGTGAGATATATATTTTGTCGTTTACTCTTTCTGTGTTTTTTCCCTTCTCTCTCCTGTTGTTCCTGGTCTGTGTTCAGACCTCATGGGAGACGGTGGGGAAGAAGAAGCCCCTGGTGAAGGAGGGTCCATCAGACAGCAAGGAGAACAAGGAAAACCGGGAGAAGAAAGGAGAGAGGGAGGCTAGCAAGGGCCGCGCGGCAGCCAACCGCAAGGGCCGGGGGACCAGTCGCAGTCGACCGGGTAAACTTCACATTCATTTAAATCTAGTTCAGCGTCTCCCGTCTCTTCTGCCAAGTCTCAGTATCGGTATGTTTGATTATATAATATGCATGTGTGTTTGCACACGTACAGCACCACGTCCGGAGGAGAACGGAGTGGAGGTGCCACCAGTGGACAGAGGTGCAGATCGAGGTCGGAGGGCCAGAGGTGGTGGCCGAGGTGAGCGCGTGCACATTAGAACCCATTGTCGGCACGCCCAACACTGGCGTGGATGTTGTTGACCTTTTTGTATGCATGTTATGCAGGATCTGGAGGGCGAGGCAGAGGCAGAGGACCACCAGGGAGCCGGTTCTCAGCCCAGGGCATGGGGTATGGTGACAACACACACACGCACACACTCTCTCAGGGGTGTTCACATACGTTTAGGTGTAAATTTATTAGGCCAGGAAATTTAACTTTCTTGTGGATTTGGTTTCTGAATGAGTGCGAGACTTTGGATTTTTCTTGCAACTGACTTTTTAGAGTTTCCACACCCTTGTGTTTGCTCTTTAAACATTGTGAGTCTTCAGTCACCGGTCCCATTAAGATGTGGTGTCTTAATAACATAATAATAAATGTATCTCACCTCAACCTCTGCTAAGCATCAGAAACCAATATCTCATCCCTCTTCTAATGGGAGCTTTGTCCAATCAATAGTATGGATAATACATATTATCACTCAAGACACTGTTTATTAGGAACATAATTACCTAAATCTGTCAACTACTCCCCTGCCTCTTCAGTTTATTTCTGAGTAACTACATATACCTCTCCTTGACTCTTCCACAGCACCTTCAATCCAGCGGACTATACCTCGGAGGCTCGGTCAGGGAACACACAAACGGAGGTGTGGGACACGGCGGCCAACAACAGCACAGAGGGGACAGGTGAGCTCTTCACCTGTAACGGCAGATTTGTGGTAAACAAACACATCGCAATGTATTGAGCGGACAGTACAGTGTAGCTTTTATGCAAATGTAAATACGCTACAGGTAACCCGCGTTGTGTTAACCTGCTCATCCCACCTTTAAACTTTCTGACTCATCGCTGGTTGCTCTCTAGTGACCTGGAGGGGTCCCTTGGAAGACTGGGCATCCGAGGACTGGAGCGAGGATGTTGGCGTGAGTTGACACAATTGCAGGAGAAGTCTGTCAATCACACAGCGGTGGTGCACATTTGAAACACGTCTGTCTCCTGTGTGTTTTTGTTCCTGCAGCTCTCAGAGACCAAAGTGTTCACCTCCTCATGTGCACCTGCTGCTGAGAATCACATCACACCTGGGCAAAGGTGAGTAACTGGCTCAACTATAACGGCATACATATGCAAACTTTGATTGGAAGTCCTGCAAGCATTTTCTACATTGACTTTTGACCGACGTGTTTCCGCGTTAGTCTGGACCTCGCCTCTCTGCTGCAGAAGCCGGGAGTCGGAGGAAGAGAGCCACCGTCGTCCTCTTCCTCTCAGAGTCTGGTCTTCACTAACTCCCACCACCACCACCAGTCACCGCAACAGCACCCGCCCCCCAGTCGCAACACCACCGGTAGCACTAGCTATGCTCATGCTGCTCTGGTAAAAAAAAAAAAAGTTTCTTTTGATACTCTGCACCCTTTTTTTTCATACACATTCCTTCATCCATCACATGTAAATAAACTGGCACACCGAAACAAAGACTGGTGATGACACTGTTCTCCTCCTGTCTGTGCCAGTCGTCGGTTCTGGGAACTGGTTTTGGGGATCTGGGGCAGGCCAAAAGGGCTCCGCCTAGCGCTGGAGCTCAGATACTGGAACAGCTGAAGGGCCCTGGCTTGGGTCCGCTACCTTCATCCCAGGCTGCGCCTCCTGCCAGCACCCAGGGAAGCAACACCTCCATTTGCCGACTGCCAGGCCTGGGAGCACCTGTACCTCCACCCTCCTCCTCTAGCTGGGACATCAAGGCTTCGGAATCCAACACCACCTCGCTGTCCTCGCAGTTCAGCCGTAAGTGTTCTAGTGGGACTGTCAACAGTGTTTTCTGTTTTTGCCACATGTATTAACATAGGCCCGCATTCTATTTATAATCCTTGTTGTCCGTCTTGTGTCATGCAGGTGAGTTTGGCCTGCAGCCAGAGCCTTCTCTGGTGCTGAGTCAGCTGGTTCAGAGGCACACCGGCCCCTCCTTGCCTCTGGCACGTCAACCCAGTCCTCCATCGCAACAACAAGCGCACCCTGCTTCAGCCTCGCCCGCTCCCCACCACGCCAGCACGCCAGCACAGGCGGGCCCGATGATGGCTGCTGGTGCTAAACCTCCTGCCCCTGGTGCAGGGCTGGACCCTCAGGGTGGCAGTACACCACAGCAGCAACGGGCACAGCTCAAAGGCCAGAAACGAAGGATACCTCCCACATCGAAGGTTAGGGGATTGATGAAGAGAACATTACGATGCACATGTGGCTACTCTTG